GTCCCCCCGGCTGGACATGGGTTGACATTTCGACTCGGCAAACGGTGTGCCCAGCATACCGTTCAGCTGCTCGAAGGCCCACTGGCCTGAACCACGAGAAGAAGCCCAGTCTCCCAAATTCGCATCGTCAAAATAAAGGGAAACCAGAACCGATACGAGCCGTCTGCCGAGAACTTCCACGAGTCTCGAGTAGCGATTGAAAGATGTTACGGCCAACGGAAGACCGAACAACAATCCCGCGTACAGCTGGAAGGCCGGTTGTTGCCACTCGTGATGCCAGAAACACACCACGCAGGCACGAGCCTCCGCCGAAGACATTGGCGAGTGACGATAGGCATTCGGCCAATCCTCGCCGCCCGTCTCCCAGGCGTCCTCGTCCCTGGCGCGCCCAAGTTCCTCCTCGGACATGAGGCACACAGTTGCTCTGAGGTGCTGGGCGGGACGCATGGGGGAACAGAGCACCAGCTTGTTGGCATCGGACGAAGCGGCCGACTGACCTCCCTCGGCCGCATTGTCGATGATGCGGTGCTTCCTGAGCCCTGCGTGATCACGCACCGTGGGATCACCCGGAACAAGCTCCCTCGGAGCTCCCGCTGCAGACCTGAGAGAGAGAGGGGCGGAGTGCAAAACCCTTGGTCCGCGTCGGCCCGCGACTGTTCCAGCAGCACTTCGTCCAGCCGGCCAGGCTTGAGCCGCCGGATGGTGACTGCATTGTGCGCCTGCCAGTCACCGAGCACGTCCTCAAAGGAGATGACGTGAGCCTGCTGGGTGGGGAAGACACCGTATGACGGGGCAAAGCCGACTGCTGGAAGTCCTTGGATAAGCCCGAACGGGTAGGTAACATCACCCCAGCTGGTCAAGATGATGAGCAAGGCGGTCAGGCCGAGGTCTCGATAACGCGTGGCCTCGCGCAACGCCTTCGGTTGCAGTGTTCGCAGCCGTGCCCCGACCGACTCCCATCGCCGTTTGAGCTCTTTGAGTGCACCGACGGCTTGCTGGCGAATGGCACGCAGGGACCCCCTGTGCTTTGCATGCATATCCGCCGCAAAGATGAGGTTTGGCCGCGTGCCCAATTCCAAGGACTGCTCGAAATGCTCATCCGCTGTGAGGCCAAAGGGGAGCAACGGAGGAATTGCCGCCCGATGGCTGGAGGCACCAATCTGTTGTCCATCGGCCCTGCGCTGCCGAAAGCGCTGCTGCTTCTCGGTCGCGATGGGAACGAGGGGTCCCTCCCACTCGTCCCCCCGCGCGACTAGCCAGCGGCCAAAAGAGTCGAACGGGGCCTGGTTAATGATGTCCTCGATCATAGGAAAGCGGAATCCTCGAAACCATTCGGCTGGAAACAGCTTGCGAAAGCGGAGGATAATCGCCTCCTGCCTGAACAAGACAGGCACCGCCTGCCCAATTCGGGATCCACGCAGGAGTGCCGTTCTCGGTGCGATTCCACCAAAGTGCGGATGCCTTGCAACGGTTTTCACCAGGCTCCCCGCGACGGCAATCAAAGAGGAGGCCTGCCAACACATCAGCTTCGCATGGCACGTCGAGAGGACAATCGCATAGAAGTGTCATGCCGCAAAGCCGGTCCAGCTCGTTCCATAGCTCGGTCAGGATGAACTCCGCATATGGGGTCAACCTCTCGGCTGGATCGCAATTCAGGCCCGCCACCCAAGGGCTGCGCCACTGCGAAGTGGGGAGCCTGTGCTGGTAGTTGCCTTGTCCGACGTAGATGCAGCCGCTGGGCAAAACACCTTTGCCCACCACTGTGTCCTCGGCCAAGGCTCGAACCGGGAGCTCGGCTGCGCCCGGGATTTGAGCAGGCCGGAGTCCCAGCGATATTGCGAGGGGTGCATAGCTCGCATCGCGGTCGATTTGCAGCCAATGCTCTTTTCTTCCGGTCGCCTCGAATGGGGGGAGACGATGGATCTTGGCAATGGCAAGACCTTGCCGCGCAGCCCACCAAGAGACCGAGACCGCCAGGAAGAACGCCACTGGGGCAGTGCACTCGGACTCCTCGTGACTGGGGTAGACAATGGAGTCGCCAAGCGCGTAAGGCTCCCATTCCGAAGCATCATGCACATGCTGGCATGCCAGGGGGGGGCCTTGCGCGAGCTCGTCGATGTTATGCCGTATGGTCTGAGACTTGCACCTGGCACCGGCAAAAACGCAGGTCGGCCGCGCTCTGCACTCCCTGTGGCCCCCTCAGCTGGCGAAGGGCTCGCTGCCCTAAGCCTAAGAACCACGAGGACCCTCTCCGACGAGGCGGCGCTCGCCTCCGGGTGGGGCCTTGCAGCCGACTTCGGCCTCGCCTTCACTTTCGGCTTCAAATTGGGCGCTGCCTTTGAGGAGGACCCCGGAGAAGACTGAGGCGATCGTGTCGACGGCGAAGAGGGCGGCGCTGAGCTTGCTGAAGCGGGCTCGTCGGCGATTGGCAAAGCCGGGGAGCTGCGCAGCGCTCAGGGACCCTGGCCGGATCCTTCGGCCGCGGCGCTGGGGCTTGCAACGGTCTCTTGGAGCCCGCACCCACGGAAGGACCCGGCTCCTTCGCGGACTGTGCCAAGAGAGCTCGCTTATCGTAGCAGACTTCCGCCGCGTGGTTCACAGGCTCGTCCGCTCCTCAGCGCTACTACTGCGCAACGGTGGTGGGATCCCGAGCAATCATGCTCCGCCAGGTTGCAGCGTCCAAGCTGAAAGCGAGCGCAAAGCGACTGGCCGTTTTTTAAGAACGCAGTCAGGACCTTCCCATTCAGGGTGGCTGGCATTTGTGCCACTTGCTCCTTGGCCGATGTGGCCCTTGTCTTGGCAGCGCGGAGCCTCCAGGTCCTGGTCAAGGCCAACGAACGGTGCAAGGCCTCGGTGGTCACAGGAGCCTGGTAGATCGTGGTCCGGCCCCCCACGATCACATCGTCGACCTGGCTCCTGACCGCTCCTTTAATGCGCTCCAGCTCCGTGTCCGTGACAGCGCTCCAGTCCTCGAAGCCACGAACCTCCCATGCTGCTGCCAGTGAGAGTGCCTTGAACCGAAGCGAAGTCGTATAGCGAGCGCTGCTGTAGTGGAGGGGCATCTGGTTACCGTCCGGGTTGTTGCTGGCCCAATCTCCTAGTGCCAGCTGCTCCTGAGGAGATAATCGGAGGAGCTGGCCCACCGTCGGCAAAAGCCGCCTCCAACTGTAGGTGGTCATGTCCGCAGGCTCCTGAAGCATGTCGCTGAAGATTTCCTGGACACCGAGGTTAATTTCAGAAATGGCCCAGGGCTTGCCGTCCCGATTGAAGCACATGCCCGCTCTCTTCTTGGCCAGAGGAGTGAGTGCCTCCCACTCGCGGAGCCATGCCTCGGCCCAAGACCATCCGGAGGAGAAGCGGGAGCAGATCGCGAAGTCGAACCCAGAGATCCTCAGGTGCGCCTGCTTCCCCCGACGGCAATGACCATAAAAAGCTGTCGAGGAAAAACGGCGCGGCTCGGAAACCTGAAGGTGGCGATACCTAAGGCAGCCCGCCGCTACCAGCCAGGACCCTAACAAGGCCGTCCACTTCGCATCCCCGTAAAAGTGGGCCAGCTCGATCTTTTCCTCCAGGAACCGCAGCATGTCCGGGCCGACACAGGGTGCTTGGCCGCGAGGCTACCCCGACCTGCCCTGGCCATGGCCAACAGCCAAATCGACTCGCTCTTTGCCATGCGGAGAGCTCGCCCCAAGTCCTCAAGACACCCTGGATAGTAGAGCGATCGGCCCTGTCCACAAACCTGGACGCTGTCCTGTCGACAGCCCTCTCCCACTCTCGGCGAGGAGCGTCCGTAAGAGGACCTGCCGGGCGAAACGCCCCCACCTGGACCAAAGC